ATGATAGATTAATAATAACATAGAGATTAGATAATTCAACAGATAAAATAACAAAAGAAGATGGACCATCAGCATCTCATCTACTGGGTCTGGAATGGTATACACTCAACATCCATTTTTATCTCACCAAACTTGCTGCATCAAGCAAACATAGGGATGCCCAGTTCACTGTGGAGAGAAAAATTGAAAGGGATGACGTTAGACAAAAGGGACCAAACCTTTTCTTAAAATCTAACATAGAGAAGGGTGAATTGTTATATATTTTTCAACACAACAAACAGCATCAAGTTGGCTGGTATAGGCATCCTCAGAAAAATTATATGAGAAGAGTAGAAAGAGATTACTCTACTTTGTGGACAGAGTACGTATGTTGGCATGATCTTGCCAAGCAGCTTCACATGAAGACAATAACAAAAATAAATCAACAGATAGTTTGTCTTGTACCACCAAATGTACAGAAGGCCATTATCGTAACATCTCTTGTTTTATATAACCACTCATTTTTGTGTCAGAACAAATAATTTTTGTAAGTAAATGGTAAAATTTTCAGCTAAAGATGCATGCAATGCATCTATTTATCAACCAACAAAAGGAGAATGTACACATGTAGACGTTTAAAACAACAGTATTGCTGTCTCACCTGGGCAACAAACATGGATTGGATGTCTAACTTCTGAAGAAATGTTTTAGCTATGTCCGGAGTTGGTGATCGAGAAGCAATCGCCACATTGATTCCTTTATCCTTGAATGCATAGTGTATACCCTCAGCATGTGGGTAGAGAGATGGCATTTCCCTTTTGGAGCGGCATTCACTGGAAAATAAAAAATTTGAAAGTCAAATGTAATTCATCCCAATCTACAAATGCAATAAGAGTAGTTTCTTATAGCTTATACATGTAACTTGATCTTATCAGAATCTGCATCACATGAGTACAAATTCAACTATACTTCGCTTGCTAAACGCATAAACTAACAATGTACAAACACACTTGTCTTGTAAAGGATCTGTAGATATATTATAGAGCCATACAGAGTAAGAACTATGTACAAAATACTGTAGATGTTAAAACTCTTCTTTCTTGTAATGAAGTCTCATTGCAAGTTCAGTCTCTCTTACTTCTGAAAGAAGATCATGAATCATCCATCTGCTGTCCACAAAAAAAAATACTTACTGATGGTTCCTCAAAAGTCAAAGGTAGTTAAATGCAGCCTGTAGGCAAGGGAAACAAGATTTTGAAACCTATTATAATACAACTCAATTTATCACCTTTTGTTATTCTTGATAGTATTGACACCTTGTTTTTCACTTTCTGCTATAAGACAAACGTATTAAAGGAAACAGCATTAGCAGAGCCATCTGTACCAACCCTTCTCAATCATATTATTCTATAATTATACAAGAGATAAATGGTTCACCCAATTATATATGCCACGAACCCTATTTACAAAAGCATGGAGAGGAAATAGGACCTAGAAAACAAAGGGAAGACGGATAGATAATGTGCCACTCTCAGGTAAGAGGCTGTGCATCACATCCTATTCTACTTCACATAAACTAAATATTAAACAGTCAACATTATTGTAGTTAAGTTCAAGGCATTGGTTGATGAGATCATAGCTTGCCATCACAACAAACCATAGGTGGACACTGAATTCAAATAAATGTCCCACTCGAAGCTGATGAAATAGACTATGGGTTACAATCTTAAAAAATAGAAAGTAAAACAAAAAATGTAAAAGATTATATCCATGAGCTAACAAACACACCAAACCAGGAAGCCATAAAAAAGGATGTGCAAATACATAGAACCATTCACAAAAATCCACTAATTAAAACAATTATTTGCTAAATCATCTTGTCTTGATGGTTTGCTTTTCTAGGCAATACTTTTTGGTTTATAGGTTTCTTGCGAACTCTTGGCAATTGATATGTTATTTATAGGTTCTTTGATCATCCAGGTTAAATAATCACTGTCTTATTTCTTTTCATCATTCCTCAAAATCAAGCATTAAAACAATCACTCATAGAGAAATCGAAGCTTATATTGTAAAAATTGATAGATTATCAAGACAAATGTGGATTATGCTGACCTTCATATAAGCAAACATAATCAAACTTTATAAAATAAACAACATTATTATGAAGAGACAACAAATTGATATACTTAATACCCATATATTTCTATATACAGATGTCGCATGACATGCCAGTGCTGTTATTCATCACAAACAACGGAGGGAACATGTTTGATTAGTTCTGTAAAAAGAACTGGAAGCAAAACCAAGAACCTCCTTGTGCTTGCTATAAGATCATCTTATATTAGTGAAGAGGAACACTGATCCCTTCGTTGATTGCAAAAGCAAAGAAAACATGCCATCTTTCTAATGATCAAAATCAATTTGGGGTTGTCACCCAATTTCAAGATCAGCAAGAAGGATGAAGAGTTCTGGAATTGGCTTAGACTGATCATGAGTAGCAATCTTAATTCTCATAATACACCACTACGACACTGACTTCCCGTCATTTCCTTCTACTTTATTATAACCAGCAGAAGTGAAGACATCGATCCAGTTTCACACTGCAAATTGAGCGAAGAAGTAGTGCCATTAATCTTCTTCGATCCCGATTCCATCAAAATCATTCTAGAATCGCATCAGAATGCCATGCCTAACCCAAAGGCCTCAACTTTAGCTCACACTTTGCAGCACTCATCCTATGATATGGTATCCATCCAAACTAACAAACAATTCTCTAATTACCATATCATAACTTCTTCCAATTTTTAGCCCGCTGTTGCAACGAATCAATCAAATGCATTTCTTTCAGAAATTTCTCACGCATAATAAAAGAGAACGTTTCCTCCATCAACCAAAAAAAATATCTATCTTTACATTAGGGTAATTAAACACAAGAGATAAGAAAGAGGCAATCGAGAGAGTATTATCGGGCATACGCTTCAAGCATCCGACGGAAACAGATAAAGCAAAACAAAGTTATGAAGCGAAACAATGAAGAAGCTAAGAATTAGAAAATACTCATTCAGGGATCGCCGCTCACCAGTAGAAGGGCCAAAGGGTGTAATCGAGATCGAAGACGACCAGCCTAGGCAGGACTTGGAATAGGCCGAGGGTCCGGAGAGCCCCCTCCTTTACCCTCTCGTCCTCCATCTACCTTCTTCCCCCTCGACCTCTAAGGTAGAGAGTGAGAGCGAGAGGATAGCAGCCCGCTCATTCTCAAAAGGAATCGAAATCTATTAGATCGTGTGACCACTAAAATTTTGGGCCATCGAAGCCCGGCTTTTCGGCTCATAATGTGTCCCGCTTTAATTCCGAGTTAACCCTAATTTATATACATATACTTTCAAAAATTAACATCTTTTTGTATATTGATTCCATTAAGTTTCATCCAAAAAAAATAGATTAACTATCATTAGTTGTAACTAAAAATATAAACCTACTTCTAGCAATCATATATATATATATATATATATATATATATAGGATTAGGGATTTAGATATGTTGGCTAGATATCTATCGGGTGAGAGACACCACTTTATCTCTAAGAATATAAGAACTAATCTTATGAGATAAGATATCCTCTAACTCCATTTGATGTTATATCATTGGATGTCCAATCTACACCACTGTATATTATGATAATAAATATTAAATTATGATTATATTATCATTATTATTATTATTATATATAAATTTGATTATTGATATTTATTTTGAAAGGTTGTTATTCGGAGAATTATTATTATATTTTTATTTTATATTTATTTTTTTTAGAGTGATCTCCTAATAGTATTGGTGTTGTGACTTAGTGGAATACATTCCTTTATCGCCAATTTGCTATAGAGAAATTCTAACATTTCATTACTCCTAGTTCAAGTAGATAAGAGTTTGTTGTTTACCGTAATCCTTATCAGGACATTAAACCTCCCCCTAATCCTTTACCATAAGTTTGAGCAGATGCATTCTTCTGCAATCCCAAAGGAAGACTCTGTGTGGACCTCAGAAACCTCACTGCACCCATCAGATTCAGCTATGAATGCCCTCATATTCTCCATGGAGTTTTCAACGCCATGAAAGATTATTTCTAGTACACTGGTCTTTGATAATGAGTAATGCTTTTATTGATAGTTATGTTGAATATATAGTCTTTAATAATGAGGATTTAATAATCTTACTGCAATGGCAAGATTGCGAGCAGCAGTACTGTTAATAGATTTGTTAATATGGACCCAACTTAGAACATTGACAACTTTAGCTATAGTAAAGATGTTATTACAGATGCTTTAAAGGTCCATGGAGAGGCTGTCTTGTAGTTGAGATATTGACCATAGCAGCTAAGAACTCTTTAAAAACCCATTCTTGCAAAAAAAGAAGAAGCTTTCATTAGTGTAGGAACCATCATATAAAAGAAATAGAGGGCTCTCCATAAATGATATTGCCACTAGTGGAGGAGCTGGCGGATTGTCCTCGGAAGCTTGAGTGAATGACAACATCTTCGAATAGGAAAAACCTTACACCAAAAGTAGATTGGGAGGAGGGGCGATTGCCAAATTTATAGTCATTATATCTTCCAAAGGAACTATAATGATCAACCAATTATGATAAGTGATTACCTTTATTAAGCCAAGCACCAGTCAGCCATGAAGAAAAGTCATCCCAAGATTATAGACATTGGAAAGAAGAAAAAAAATACACTCGACAAATTTCTAAAACAAATCTAGCAAAAAGACAATTAAATAAGATATATTAGAAAGAATTCTCATCAAGATGACAAATGGGGCACGCATCAACGTAACAAAGATAAACCAAGTTGGTAGCCAGTTTCAAAATAATTTTCAGATTTTTTTTTTAATTTTTAAAGGAATATCAAGATGACTCCATATAATTTTTGAATATTGAAACATCCTTTGAGAATTTTTTTAAACTAAAATTTTTAAATGAATTAGGAAGAAATGTCTGCGACAATTACAACCTAATTTTGACAATATCTATTTATTTTATTGTCTTCTCAGCTGTCCATGATTTGATATACGAAACAAATACACCGTTGCTGATAGCAAACCATGATGCATCGATCACAGCAGCAACTCACGGACAACTATCTTATTTACTTAACTATGGCCACAGTATTCGGTGGCTTGTAATAGTAAAACCCGGGAGGATCAAGCACAGGCATCGGCAACATCAGACAGGCATTGGAAGAGCTGCTTCGGGGTTGAGAAGATGGGCATATGGTCGGCATCCTCGATCTCCTTCACCACTTTCACTGGGTTATTCTCGATCATCCAGCGCTGAAACGCTTCGCTTATGCCTTCATCCTGAGCGCACACGACGTAGACCTTCTCGACCGACCCGTATCCTGACTCGGAGAAGGGCGGCATGGACACCAGGTCTTCGAGGAATAAAGAAGAAGGCCTCGCGAGGGTCATCGCCAGCGTGAGATCCTTCCGAGAAGCTTACGATTACTCGAGTGTTGTGTTCAGCCATAGCAGTAGAATGACTGGTGCGTGTATACGTACCTCGGGTGGGCTGAGCTTGTAAAGCTTGGACAAAAACTTGGGACCTAACAGCATGGAAGTCGGGCCTCTCTCTCTGTCCCCGACGACTAACCCAAATTGAGTGTCAAGCCAATATGACATGGTTTTCTCCTGTTTAAGCTGTCGGTGTAGCAGAAGGCATACATCAGCGGGAACTGGGATTGCAGCCAGGACAAAGATGAGAAGAGTGACAGATCATAGCAGAACGGCGTACCTTGTCGAGGACGTAGGAGGGCGGGTTGACGGAATCGGGCATGAAGGCGGTGACAAACACCGCGGCAGCGATCTTCTCAGGGAACCTGTCCATGGCCAGAGCAATGTTCATGCCTCCGAGGCTGTGGCCTACGAGGACGACCCTCTCACCAGGTGGAAGGGAGGCCACTACGTCCAACAGTGGTTGCGTGTAGTCGGTGAACGTACGCAGGTCTTGGAACCGCCGTTCGTCGATGCCGGAGGCCGCGAGGTCAAGCGCCGTGACCCGGTACCCCGCGGACCTCAACAGCGTCGTCACCTTGTGCCAAGACCATGCTCCATGGCAAGCGCCATGGACGAGAATTATGTGCTTCTTGTTGCCGCTTCCCTCGCTCATGTCTCCTCCAATGCCTTTGCTCTCGGGTTGCTCCATTCTAACGAATACTCATCTTCGCCGAGTCAGGACGAATTATATATACAAAAAAATTTTGGGTTTTTTTTCTTCCGAAAAGCATCCTCCGTTTTCATAATTTCATAGTATTTTTTTATCTAATACCTAAAATACTCCTAATCACTTTTTTTATTATTATTATCGACCGAAACAGTTACAATAATTTTATACTTCATTATGGTGTTTTCAGCAATACTACAAACTCATTGTAACATCATATAAAAATGTTATAATATAATATTTTTGAGTATTATTGAAAATACTATAAACAAAATATTTTTACAAAATCTATATAAAATACTGAAGCATAATATTTATAATATTTTATATTATGCGATAATATTCTTTAACAATATTAAAAACTATTATTATATAATACAAAAATATTAAATAAGACAAGTTCAAAGATATATTTGTTTTCGAGAATCCCATACTGTTTATTCATCTTTATTCCGTGATTAATATTATTATTATACAATTTTATTCATCCACTAATATATTATTTGTACGGATAAAATTGACAGACACAATGAATCAGCTCGACAATTGGAGGGAGGTTCCAATATATTATTATACGTCACATATTAAAAAGATTTATTGGAGCAAAAACAAAAAATTGTTGTCCTTATCGTATTAAAAGGATTCGTCATAATACTATTATTCTGTGCGAGTGGTACATGCACTATCATTTACTATGTCGGGGTCATGGAATAAAATACACGCCACCAGCGTCAGTACTAATTAGGACTCTTACCAATCCAGTCACTTCCATCAATCACCACTGTTTCGGCCCATAATTTGTCCCGCTACATATAGTCAGTCACTTCCATCAATCACCATGTACACATTATGGGAGTGTTTCCGCCCATAATGTAACTTCTTTTTGTGTATTTATTCCATTAAATTCCATCCAGAAAAATGGATTAACTATGATTAGTTGTAAAGAATATTAATTTGTTGAACTAATATATCAAATCAAAGTGAGTGTGTGTGTGTGAGAGAGAGAGACATTTTATACGGATTTATATGTTAAATTTGAATATAGAGGGATAAATTAATTTTATTGTAAAAAAATATTAATTTAAGGGACCAAAGTCTAGAAGAATAGAAACTAAAGTCTCTTTGTTGCTTGGAAGGTATTCTGCTTCACCAAGTACAGACTTAGTGAAGTTACAAAGCTTGGTAAGGATTTGGAGGCTTACGGAACAGCTTGAATTAAGATCAACTCAGGACGATTTCGACCTGAAATCACAAAAGTTGAAGTAGAGGTCCAATCATGACAGAGTTGATTTGACAGTTTCTAATACGTCCAAAATTGCTCAAGCTTTTGCTCATAATAAGGAACTAATTGGATGGATGTCTGCTAATGCCTCTTTCGTATCAGTTAAATTAATTAGGTAAAAACTCATTCCTGCAACAAAAACACAAAAAGAAAAGCTTTCATTAGTGTAAAAAAAGAAAAATTACACTTGAAAATTTTTCGAAATAAACCTAACGTAATTGATAAAAATAATAGAAGATAAAAATAATTATTGAAGAAGCTTTATTAAAGAAGTAAAGAAACTTCGTTCTCCTTAAGTCTGTCCTTCGTTCTCCTTAAGTCCACCGATTGTAAGTCCACCGATTGTTGGCAGATCAATGAAGGCAGCGAAGTTCGTTCTCCTTAAGTCCGTCCTTCGTTCTCAAGCTTTGCTTTTCTCAGCGGCGTTAGTTGCTGGCCAAAGGCAAGATTTCTCACTGTTCTGATTCCATGATAAAAATAATAAAAGATAAAAATAATTATTGAAGAAGCTTTATTGAAGAAGTGAAGAAGCTTCAATACTTTAACATGTTCCCTCTCCTATTTATTAGGAGGAAGGATTTCCCTCAATAAAATAGAGGATTTTTCTTAATAGAATAGAGAGATTTCCTGAATCTTATCTTCTATACAATTAAATAAGATATATATAAGAAGAAATCCTCATCAAGATAACAAATGAGGCACACACATCAACATAATAGTATAGGAAGAATGATAAACCATAATCGTTGAACTTTATCGAGAAAGTTTATCTATAGTCATCATGGTAGGTTAAAATATCTTTTAAATATCTACGATCACTCTTGGAGGAAGTTTACCTACAAGAGTGCAAACTCCACACCTATGATTTTGATACCAACACTGGGTGAAAAATTCTATATTAAGGATAGATTTCAAGAATTATCACAAATTCGCTTCTCTTCTAAAGTTTATATCCAGGTGACATAAACTCAAACTTAGTTTATTCATGTTGTTATTCGATCATAGTTAATTTAAAGAATGAAAGCTTATCAGGCCATAGTTAATTTGGAGATGTTAATATTGTGTAAATGATCCATCAAATTTTATTAATAGCTTTGAGTTAAAAAAGGATATGTGGATTTAAGGTAAAAGGATTTAGAATTTATGGTTAGATCAAGTTTCTTTTTTAAAGTATCTCTAAGAGGAAGAGTAATGAGAATCATTTCAAAGGGCAAATTATCTCTTATGCCCTTTATAAATCTTACAAAAAGTTAGACCCATAGCTTATTAATTGGTTTACATAGTATTTACAAGCATAGATGGTTGAGAGATGATATCTCATGTTTTCTTGTATTGACCTCTGTGGTTGAGAGATGATATCATCTTTTTAAAATAGTTGATCTAAATCTTGAAAATGAATGAGCTCCTCTTATGAAATAAAACTTTTATCTTTGAGGAAATAATACTATTTAATTTAAAAAGAGAAGAAGATATTAAAAAGTAGTATCTACAACAATCTCTATAAGGCAAGTATCAAATTCTTTTATGAGAGAGGAAGCAATCACTAGAAACTTTTTTATTCATTTCCTAAATCAAGAATTTCCTAATTAGTTCTTTTACCATAGTATTATAATTTTTTTTCAAACAAGTGTATCTTAATATGAAGATAATTTTTCAACAACTAAGGCTATTCCTTATTATAAAATTAAAAAATATAATAATATAATTAATTATTTAAATATTAACTATGAAAATTAAAAATTAAGATTTATATCATAAATGATATCCTCTTCATCTCCTATTTAAGTTAGATAGACTTTCCTCCAATCACAATAGTAACAACTGGTAAGAGTCAAACAACAAGGAGGAAGGGCAGTGGTCATCACTTAGAGAAGAATTGTAAGTCATTGTTTTGGTTCTTTAAATTAAATTATAAATTATTCTATTTATCTTTCAATTTAAAAAAATTATGAATCTCAGAATTAATTAATGGTAAATTTTCAAAATTTAAAATCCATAATAATCATACAATTTACTATGTCAACTTGAATTTTAATCATAATTAACAAACCTCACACAGTTTATATTTTTTTATTGATAAATTATTTTAGGTGCATTTAATAAGTCAAAATCATATCAATTATTTTTTAAGGTTCATGTTTTATTGATACTTTTATAATTACTATGAACTTTAATTATGTTTAGCAAATTTGATTTAACAAATTTCATACAGTTAATCTCTTTTTATTGATAGGCTGCTTTAGATGGATCTAATTCATTCAAAGTATGTCAAGTATTTTTATCAAATTTAATTTTTAATTAGATTTAATTTAATTAATCAATTATGCTACACATTACAAAAATCCTTATTTTTAATGAAATAAATTATTCATCTTTCATTATATTTAAAAAAATAAAAATTTAGCTGTTGGACCGCTATTGAGTCTAACCAGATTAATCCATACTCTATTTAGTCTCAGGTCTAATTTAGCCTAAAATCGAGCTAAATATGACTCGAGTTAGGTTAATTTATAGCCCAACACAAATTAGATCCAACTCGAGTCCAATGCCCAATCCTTTGTGGCCTAATCAAATCAGTTCGGTTAATTTAGGTTGGACCCAATCGACTTCAGATTGATTCTAACCAATTCAAGTTGGTTCAAACAATTTTTTGATCCATTGATACTAATTTGAGCTAATTTTTGAGGATTTCAAATAGGTTTAAGTTGATTTTGGCCCAATGCATTGAGTCCAATTCAAAGTTATTTCAACTGAAATCAAATTGATCCAAGCCAATTTAGATTTATTCAGCCATGATTTAAGGGGTATAAAGGTTTCAACATTTCTCAATCTTTTGATTTAAGAAGTTCAAATATTCCTATTTGAAATCATGAATTTTTAGAGATAGTTAAAAGAATCTTGTCATGGTAACAACAAGATGATGATGATACAATGGATGTAATCATAGATATTGTTTTATTATCAAAAATATTCAAACCATTATTGGTAGGATAGTTTTCCTTCGTGATTAGCAGGTCGTTAAGCATGATAACTAATGATTTCATCATATAGGGATGGATGGATGAGGGACATCATTTTAAAAATATAATATTAATTCTTTTTATCTATTATCGGAAGAATAAAAACTACCAACATCATCATAAATTATAATAATAAATATTACATGAATGATCTTGCTCAACATGCTAATGATATATTTTTGTCTTTATATTTAATTTTTGGATCAGCCTTCTAACAGTGCTAGTGGGGTGAGATTAGGTGGAGAAGACATTCCCTTCTGCTAATTATACATTTTTTATTTTATCCAGAAATTCTGCTGCTTGCTGACTTTTCATTCAACTTGATAGAGTTTGTTTATTACTTTATATATATATATATATATATATATATATATATATATA